ATATATATATTATATATATATATATATATATATATATATATATATATATATATATATATATATATATATATATATATATATATATATATATATATATATATATATATATATATATATATATATATATATATATATATATATATATATATATATATATATTATATATATATATATATATATATATATATATATATATATATATATATATATATATATATATATATATATATATATATATATATATATATATATATATATATATATATATATATATATAAAGATATTTAAGATATCATTTATTAAAATTCATTAAGCGATTTTGGAGTTATGGGCATATATTTCCGGAAATGTAAGATGCTTTTAGAGAACAATAATATTGTTTTTTATTTTTAGGAACATGCGTTTCTCCAAAGCCGGACCTCGTTGCCATTACTGTTACTCGGTGCCTGTATGATGTATCGTTATTATAACATGTAAAAATAATAGCGTTTCATTGCTTTTTTTCAAAAACCTGAGTAGACATCATTCGGCTGAGATGTACGTATCAAAAACAGCAAGAAAATATCAATTTAAAGATTTGTGCCTGTCAATAAAACAGCGAGGTTTGCGAATAAACTTTTAATATTTCAATCAAAACTTGGTATTTCTTGGACCGCGTATCTTTTTTATTCGAAACGAACAAGTTATTTGGGATTCCCGAACTTTTATGCAGACTTTCATTCCAATTCATAAATACCCCCAGGTATACGCTTGACTTACTGGAAACACAATCTGTTTTCCTCAGGTATCGTACTTTTTATGTGAGACTTGAATGCGTTAAGCTGATCGGAGCAATAACGTTTGAGAGAATCGGAATATTCCATGTTTTCCTGAAAAAGAAAATCCTCTTACCGCGTATTTCACAATCTCGTCGATGAAATTTACCTTGTAAAAATTCGATACATCTGAAACATTCGATGGTTCGAATTCCCGTAAAACACTTACCACGTGATGAGCTGTTCCAGGAGCCAAACCTAAAAATCCACTTTTAATTGTCGTGTTTTATAATAATTGCGTTATTAATGCTTGGAAATGGATTCTATTATTAGACGAATGGCGGCGTCCGCGTGTCAACTCGTTCCTCTTAAATTTCTATTTTCTGACGTTCTCTTGTAATTAAACTGGATTGTGATTGTTCTCCTAACTGATTGTCGCGGTCAAGCGAAGCATATGATTTCCTATTCTCAATTCCTGCTTAAATAAATCTTTTTATACCACTAGCTAGTTTCGTGGCTCGTGAAATATCTAATTGACCTCGTTATCAGTCGGACCAAAAATTACTAATTTAAATATCATAGACGGTCGCGTTTTCAAACTAACGCTCGGGACAATTCAACCATAATATTGCCATAGCTATAATTATAATCAGAAGTTTAATAATACGATCAGCGTTCCCTAAATGATTATTGATTGTATTGTCGTTCCCTTTCAGTAGAAGCGATGATAATTATGATAAATACAAAGCCATATTAAACAATGATTTCCATTCAAAACGCTGAAATTTCAGAATATAATATCAGCTTGAAACAAAGCAGCCTTAATAAAGGCATTATTTAAGTAAAATGTGTTTTATTCGATGAAGTCGGAAAAAAACTTAAAGATGGAGGTCCCAAACGATAAACAAAATTCATTATCCCAATATTATAATAGGAAATTCGTAGTGATAATATGTTGGAGATTTTATTTTTGTTGATGACTTAGTTTAAAAACTAGTGTATACCCGATGTTTAAAAAAAAAAGAAAATAACTTTATAACATAGTGGATTTTGATGGCTTCTGCATCATTCTATCGTTGGCGATGTACTTTACTATGAAGAAAAGTGAGGTTAGATAAAATTCTCATCTCATCTCATAGAACTTGGTTTGAAATTATTTGGTGGGTTTAGTGTGCTGAAAAACGGATGAACTGATTGAACACTATGTTATTGGAGCTACTCGTATGTTTTACCGTTTCCAAGAGAATTTGACACAATTCGTATAAAATGCCATTAAGTATTGAGAAGTGAAATGAGCGTTGCGCGATACTTCAAACTAATATACTTTTATGCATATTAAAACTAAAATATTTCCAACTACACAACCCTAAAATGATAAAGCATAAAGCACTTTTCATTGCAGAATTTGAAATATAAGGAAACATTCTGGTAATGGTGTGAATAACTGTTCTAGGAGTTTCATAACACCTTGTACAAAAATTATAATCCTTTTGGTTACTATTTTTTAGATACATCAGAAATATTGGGAATGAATATGTTGACATACGCTTAAAAAATTCATTGATATGTTGAATAGAAGTCAGCTTTATTGGCATATCGGAAGAATAAAATTTCAGCTCATAACTTTAGGGCTTATTATATCCAACCTAAAAAATAAATGATATCATTATATTCAATTGCAGAAATGTCCTAATGCCTTTTCAGTTGACCTAATGACTAAGCAAAATAAATGGCAAAAATGTATAGGCTTACCTGATATAGTAAATTGTCTTTTAAATGGGTACCTTTTCGTTACAGAATTTGAAATATAGGGACGCTTTGGTAATATGAATTTCGCAGCAGTCTGGACAAATTCGAGCTCAATCATTCAATATCAAAGTTGACAGAATCTAATCTAATAGTAGCAATTTAAAAATGTATGTAATAAATTTCACCAAACCCTTGAAAACCCCGAAGTTATAATATTTTGGTTTCTATTTTCAAAATAAATCAGCAATGTTTTCAGTTTCACTGCCTGTGTAAGTTCGAACCTGAATATTTTACCACAAGCTTAAAATACCTTTGATTTGAAAATTCATTGATACGTCGAATAGAAGAAAAATTAGTCTCAGTCAGGTTCCGATTGTAAATTATATTATTTTGGAAACCTAACCTTCAAAATATGAATTGAATTAAAATTTCACCTCATAACGTCAGGGCTTATTATACCTAAGCTAAAAAATAAAGGAAATCCGGTTTTTCAATTGCAGGAATCTCATAATTAGACCTTGCAAGAAGCAAGACTTTTTGATTAACCTACTAACTAACCAAAATAAATGACGAATATAAAAAACAGTATCAATACATTACTGGCGAATCTAATAAGATAGTAGTGATTCCATTTTAACTGTAGCTTTTTTACTTAAAATTTATAAGATTTTAAAACTAGACTTTTGAAATTTTGTATACGTATTGTTCATCTATTTTACTATAAAAATACGAGTCTAAAAGGATTTTACTGCAACTTCAAAGCGTTAAGACCGAGAAACAAATTTTAAATTTTAGTTCTAAAATCATATAAACTCTTTGCACTATTTCATCAATTCCATGTTTGTATATAAAGAAATCAAATTGAAAAATTCGTTAGATTTCAAAGACAAATTTTATTCAAGAGGAATTCTTTTTTTTTCTAGTGTGATCATAGAAATAAGAATTTAGGAGATAACTAGTTTACATCATTTATTGCGACAAAAAAAATTATAGACAAACTTTATTATTAATTAAGCACTAGTTAGAATAAAATAATACACGACATAAAAAATAGCAGTCACCTATAGGTGAAACCTATACTATCCAAAATTGTTTAAATGAATACAGAAGAGTAAAAATGACTTTTATCTGAGTATTTATACTGAAATATGAATTCTATTCTAGTTAATGTTCTCGGGTCGTTTAGTTTTGTTTAATAATTTGAGAATTTTGTATTTGTAGAAGTTAGCAATAAACAGTTATGTGTCTGCATTTGTTTCCTAAAATTATAAACCTTCCTTAGTGATGAAGATTTGCACTTAAGAAAACTGTTAGTTTTTATCAGCCATTTAATTAATATTTAATTAATAAAAATAGCATTTTTATCTCGAAGAATATTTTGTAGATGAAGCAGTTTCACTCCGTTAACATAATATGCAAAGGTAAATCGAAACCTAGAGTTTTATTGAAAAATTTTGCTCAAGAGATTCATATTTTCGCGTTTTTTTTATCGAATAATACGTTTGGAAGCAATATTTCGCAACGCAGGCGGTTTTCATGTTCTCTTCCACGATCAGCCTATAAAATATTTTACTCCTCAGTTGTTCCAGACTCCCGGGAGCGTTATAGTAAGGTTTAAGCTGAAATGTGCTTATCATATTACATACATTATTGTTTCAAAGACTGTTGACTATACAAATTAAAGTTTGTTATGCTCTATACCTACGGATATTTATTAGACAGGGCTTTGAACTTGGCGGAAGGGATGAATTAATCTCAATTTATAATCCTTTGATGTATTCAATTTTGAATTCAATTATTAAATTTGTATGAAACTCAGCGGAAAGCGATAAAATATGCGTATAAACTGAAGATTTTGTTTGATTTTTAGTAGAAATTTTAAAAAGCAGTTTATTTTAAATACGATTTTAAGTTATAAGGTTGAAGGTCAATTTAGTTCATTTATTGTTAAGGAATTTAAGAATATAATAATTTCATTTAGTAGATTGTTGGTCAATTTACCCCTTCTATTTTTAAAAAAGTTGATATAATAATAAGAAACAAACAAATTTATTACTTTTTATGGTTTTATATTCTTATGTTAATCCTCCGAATTGCTTATCAATTATCCTTCCTACCTTTTTATATTAGAAAAACAAATAGTTTGTCGATAATAATTTTTCAAATTTTGAAAGTACAACTACAGTTTTGCTTAGACATTGGTGATTAGAAATAAAGTATTAATTCCAGAGGCGTCACAGAGCGCAATCTTATTGATAGTTAGGAAAAAATCATTGCAGGCCATTACTTTTTTGTATTTTTAATATTTCTGTAACGGGATAAAGTTTTAAAAAAATATCAGGCACAATGTCGATAACAATAATTATTGTTATTGAAGATTTGTTTGTGCCAATGCTTGACAGCATGTGACATTTTAGTTCATTAAGTCAAATTTTAGTTGATTTTAAGTGCATAAGGTATTTCAAAAAACGTGGACACTAAATGTTTTATTTATTTTAACGCAATAGGCCTTTATAGTAAAGATTAAATATTTCTTGCTTGGTACGGAAATCACGTTTATTTATTTTTTTCAAACACAAAACACGTTACGAGAAAGCCAGAAAAGCAAAAAAAGCTATTTTAAATAGCTGAATCTAAAAAAATATTAAACGTACAAACAAATATCAATTATATTACCCCGTGCGACGCTACTGGGATTAACACTTTTCTTCTAATTGCGTTAAAAGAGGTTTAATCAAAATCAGAAATAAGGTTTCTGAATAATCGATTTTCTGAAAAAAACTTGACACCCTGGATTTCAACAGTTTAACCATGGGTCACCCTATATATTGATAGTTCATTTCAAATTGTTTCTAATAACATCGATAGTTTGGATGCTTGTTTTGAATTAATTGTATTTTATCTATGTATTGTTTAAAAAAAAATTGAGCGTGGAGAGAAATTTCGGTCTAAAATAACACGCAGATTTTTTATACAGTTTACAAAGTTTGTTTTGTTTGTTTGTTTTATTGTTGTCTTATTATTTTCAATTTTTATTATTGTATGCATTATTTGAGAAATTATAAAAATCTGAAATATTAATTTGGAAATACATTTGTTAAAGCATATAATTTACCAAACCATTTATAAAAACCAAACTTATTTTTTATCCAAGAACCATGAAGTTGTTTATTAACAATTTTTTCGAATGTGTTAGCAGCAGGCCAAATCAGTTTACAAGCAAACCAAACCAACCAAAACTAAGTAAGTATTTTCTGAGCCTAATCAGTTTTTGCTCCTTTGCTTCTAGGGTAGCCCAGCACAAACTAGCTTTAGCTGATATCAGGTTAGATATAAATATTTGCTACGACTTTTTGTTTCACTTGACTATCTTGGAATAAAGATTGAAAACCCATTTCCACGAAGCTTCATAGGGATAAATAAAAAAGTGCTCTTCCTACTTACCTAAGGCAAAATGAAATTGTTGTTCGACGATGGACTTCAAATATTGATTTAGTTTTTTCTTTGATGTGTCCGGCATTTTGGCTGAACAAGTATGCATCAAATTTAATAATTCTGTCGACTGAAGTTTCCAAATTTCAAAACTTGTAGATCTAAAAATCATTATTATAGCATGTTCTCATGTTGTCGTGAGTAATTATGTTGCGACCGAGATTGATATAATCTTATTCCACTTATTCGACTAACGTTATTGCTGCGAAGGGGAAGCATATACCAGTGCAGTTCGGATATTATTACCCCCCCACGTTTCATAAAAAATCTCGAGTATAGTGATGCACTTCGCATAAAACGATGAAGATGTTTAACAGCAACAAATAAAAGTGAATCCCACCAAAAGTCTTGGCTTCTTGAAAGTGATACGTCTAGGTCAAAGCTTTCTTTGCAAATTTGAGGTCTAGACCATGACCAAGTTCAACACCATATGATGTGAAGGTTTGGAATCACTGGTACCAGTATGAAACCTTTCTTGCAGAGACATCTGTTCACTTTTAGCGAAGTGGGCGGTAGACAGTAAATAGCAGATTTATTGCTTCTAAACTACGTTCAGCACACTTAAATAATGAATAAAAAGGAGAGACAACAGATATTAAGAATGACGTTTGTAAAAATAAAGTGTAGACTTAATATTGTTAAAATGCAAAAGAGTTGAGTATATCTTGCCAAGTAGGTAACTCGGTGTTTTTTTAGGATCTTTTTGTCATGATGATCGGCATCTTGCTGGTCTAACACAGTACAGTTTAAAACCTTAGCGAAACGTCAGAAAGTTTGATTTATAAACAACCGACGCAAAAGGTATCCAGAAGATTTGCAAATGGTATTACAGTAGCCTTGGAAGCAATGATTATTAATTCAAAATAAAACTTCTTAACCGAAACGTTTAGTCGATAATGGTTTATTGATTTGAAATTATTTTTGGGAATGTGCTTCAATAGACAAAATTATTAAAATTATAGGTAGTATTCTGATTACATTGAGAAGTTGGTTTAAGGTGACAAATAAAAATAATGCATTTGAAGTAATATACAGTCACTAGCCATTCATGTGATTTATGGCAGATTTCAGCAAGCAACCTTTAAACTTAATTTAGCACTAATTTAGCATTAACGTTAAAATTAAAACAACGGCTTCAATTATTTTCCTTTATAGGGGGCATTTCAAAAAATTTCTAGGATAAATTTACTATTAAATCATAATTGGGGTACCTAAATTTAATTTACATCCCTGAAATTACCTTAAATGTGTTACTTTGTGGGTTGTTTTGAGTAAGAAATGGACGTCTAAACCACATGTTAAAAAAGTTATTAGCAAATCCAACGAGGTTTAAAGAAATGCCAAAGATTTTAAGAATACAAAACCTTTTCAAATTTAATAGGTATGCGCTAGATGTTGATATGTTATCCACATTATTGATGTCTTTTAAAAGACAACATTGTTTTCTTTATTACTTTCGAAATCTTCAAAATGTTATATTTTTTCGGTGTGGTGTAGTTTCTCCTTTATAAATATCTGTCTTGTTCTACTTCTTCGAATGACGAATACGAATATATCTTCGAGTTATACGCGATTGATTTGGAGGTTCAGTTAAAGTTGAGTAACTTCCTAAAGCGATTTGGTTGGAGTTGCATGTCTACCTGGATTCACAAAAAAAAACATTTTTACTCAAAATTTCTGTTAATATTAGGGGAAATAATATCCGAACCGCCCTGGTATTATTTCTGATTTGTGTTTGCGATATGGTCGTACAAGTATTAAATCAAACGCTCACTCAAAGCAAAGCGAATGTACATATTTGCGCAACAAGTGGAAATTTATAGACGCTGCTTTTTACGTCTACGGGTATCAACGAGCAAAAGCTTCTTTAAATTCCGTTGCTTTGCAATTGCAATTCGCTTTGAAACATTTAATTAAAGAGTAGCGAAAATGTGAATTTATTCACGTCATTTTCAAAGAGCTGTGGATATACCGCCCAGAGTTTAAACTTGCACACAATTACCTAATGTCCTTTAATATGTACCCATCACAACTTTTACTGTAGCATTGTTCAAACACTTCGAAATTTAATCCTAAATTACGTGCTGCTATTGTTAACGATGAAAATATTTCCGAGTCAATTTTTTGTGGAACGATCAAAGGATCATACTTATCTCCCACTAGGCTCTAAAAAGACGAATTATTTTTTTTATTTTTGAATTTATGTAAATTCGGAGTGTCCATTTCCGACTGTGTTAAAATTTTTGTTGTTGTTGATTTCAGTAGCGTAATTACTTAATGTTTCTGCAAATACTAACTTTGCTTAAACTTGCAATACAAAAGTATTAGTTCGTATTGAACATCACAAAATATGCAGGGTGTATTAATAGTCGTTACTTTGAAATTGGCAGAAACATTTATATGAATAAATGAATAAATGTAAAAAAATGTAACAGGAAAATAAAAACTTAATTTAGTATACCAATTTTACATAGAAATATATGAATCAAGCAATAAATCAAAAAACAAAAACGATAAAAAAAAACAATGGTTCTCTATTATGACCTTCTATCGAAAAAAAAAAAAATCAATGGAGTGGCGTCGTAGGGGTGAAGCACCTCAAGTACCTCCAAGAAAATTCAGAGTCAACAAAAAAGGTGATGACCACGATCTTTTGGGATTGTGAAGAAATTCTATTGATAAATTTTAAAGAAACTAATACCACTGCCAATAGTAGAAATTACGCAACATTATTACATAAATTGCGAGACTGCATACGTGTAAAACGTCGAGGGAAACCGACCAGCGGCGTGCGTCTTTTGCACCATAATGCACCTGTCCATACTGCTAGGGTTGCACAAGCTGCCATTTTAAAGTGTGGGTTCCAACAGATGGATCATCCTCCCTATAGTCCAGATATGGCCCCCAGCGACTATTATTTGTTTGGATATTTGAAAAGCGACTTACGTGGACGGCGGTTTAACGACGAAGTTGAGTTAAAAGAGGCTGTTTTAGCTCATTTTGCAGACAAACCAAAAGAATATTTTTTTAAAGGGATTAAGTTCTTAATAAAGAGATGTAATAAGTGTATTGACGTTAAGTTTAAAAATAATAAAAAATTGTTACTCTACTTTGTTTCTTTCATAGTCACGCCAGGAAATTTTGGCGCTGCCCTCGTGCGTAAGTCTTATGCATGTTTTATAGATTCTTGTTTTCGTTTCTATTCCTAGTTGTTTATTTCTCCACACTATATCCTTTAATGCACCTGATGTGGCTGCTACTTTTTTACTTGCTATATCGTCTCTTGGTAAATATCTCGGTGGCTTGTTACATCTACTCCTAAGTGTCTTGATGACATTACTTGCTTTATGATTGTCCCTTCTATCTCCAGCTTACATCTTATTGATTCCTTGGATACTGCTAGACATTTAGTTTTCTCTGTTGGTATTGCCATATTATATTCTTTTGTGGTTTTATTAAATATGTGTAACATTCTTCGTAGGCTGTCTTCGCATCACCCGCGGATAATCGTGATATTTGTATTTCCCATTTTGTATCCTGTTAGTCTTTTTACATTTTCTATCATTTTGTAAATAATCAGATTAAATAGAAACGGACTTAAACTGTCTTCTTGTCTTATTCCTGTGTTTACCTTTATTTCTTCAAATACCTTTCCCTCAGCTTTTATTTTAGTGGAGCAGTTGTAATGGAGTTCTTTTATGATTTTTATTATTTTAGGAGATACATTTTTTTTTAAGTAAGTATACTATGTCATTAAGTCGTATTTCATCAAACGCTTTTGTTAGGTCCACGAAACACATGAAGATAGGGTTGTTGTATTCTATTGACTTTTCCACTAACTGGCGAATTTTAAAGATGGCATCCGTTGTTGATCCGTTCTTTCTAAAACTTTGCCGTTCTTTACATATCAGAATTGTTGCTCTTAGTTCTTCTGCTATGATTTTGGTGAAAATTTTCGATATTGTATCTAGCAATGGTATTCCTCTATAGGTTGATGGCTTGTTCTTGTCTCCTTCTTTAAATATTAATATAGTCAAACTTTTATTCCACTCTAGAGGTATCTTTTCTTCTTTAAATATTTTATTGAAAATTTTTTGTATTTCCTTTATGAGTTTTGGTCCTCCATATTAAGAACCTAAAATTTAATGAATCCAATGTCCATTTTCTTTTCTTCTCGCCCCCCTTTTGTTGTTTTTTTTATTATAGCTATTTATTATTTATTTATTTGCTCTTTGGGATGCAAACAGGTTAAACCTCTTAAGAAATACAATAGAAGTAGATAATAATAAGGAAAGCTATGTTAACAATGAAAAAAAAAGAGATAGAGAAAAAAAGGATACAGTCCAGAAAAAAAAACAATTAAAATAATAATTCCAATTTAAAGCACAAGAAATACACCTATCTTAGACATAGAGAAGGTAAAGATAAAGTTTTTTAATTTATATTCTATTTGTATATTGATAAATAGAATATACAATTATTATATTCATTTTTTAATTAATTAATTTATTTATATGGACACTTTCCGATTTTTTTTGCAATTGGATGGATACCAAGTATGAATTTGCTCTAAATTTATTTAAGCAATATTCTCTATTTAGCCTTTACGAACAACTGAACATTATCAGCATGCAACCCCTGATGTGCTGCGTGCTTATTTTAAATTTATCATAGATATTATTAGGATATTAATATATGTTATAAAATAATAAGTGTGATGAAAAATTTTCGAGTTTTTTGAACTATTGCTAAGTTAAAAATATTTAATATCTTAAGCTTATATTTTTAATAAAAGTAAGTTGTCACCCATCTTGAACAAATTTTATTTTTGTTTTGTATAATAATAACTGATCGATTAAGTTTCGAGGGGGACTCTCTGTATAACACGTATTCAATATAATTCATAACATTAATATTTCTATCCCATTTTCATTTGAATTGCAATTATGTGTAAATGTGATAACGCCATTGAAATCAACATAAAAATTTATGGGAAAACCAAACTCTAAAAATCCACCCAGGGTGAGAAACATCGAAAAATGGACGCAATGCACCTTAAGAAAATGATAGTAATTACCACAAAAAAACATCCACGGGACACTTTGTGGCAGATTCTGATTTCGTTTAAGTGATCCTGGAATAAATCAGGATCGTAACAGTCTTTTTCACCTGCACCGAAATGCATGTCAACTAATTCCACCTAAAATATTTCGAAATACATCAAGCATGGGGAAAGCGCTCAAAAATGTTTACCTCTAGCTGATGATCATCGAAAACTGATTGCAATTCGGGTCCAACATTTTCCAAAAGTATTCTCCTTTCATTTATAAAATCTAAAAAAATTGTTAAGAGATTTATATCAATTATTTTGCTACGGATAATTTCGACAGAAGACCAGCTGCTATTATAAGGGTTGGCAATCAATCAGTTTATTGTACAGAATGTTACTTAAAGATTAAGACAAGACGTATTCCTAAAACTAGGTAGGGATAAAATAACTGGGTATCCAGTATTTATTATCTTTGTTGGTAGTAATAAATTAACCATAAACGTGAGCTGTGTGTGTATGTCTTAGATTTTTTATAGCCACATTGATGTATTTAATTAAGTAATTTTAACAAATTGAAACGTAGAAAAAATTTTCACAATCGTATGCTGAGTGCAAGGCATGACTCCAAAATATAGAAAAATTTCCTGCAATTTAAGTGACGATATAAAGGACAAAACTGTAGATTGTAAGTCGTCCCTTTTAATTGTAGTGCGAGATTTAATTCGTCGTATTTCAGATCAATACATATGCTAAAGCTAAAATGCTACTGAATCCAATTGATCCCGTGCTTTACACCCCAATTGTTGTCAAATGGGAATAAGGGTCAAGTGGCACCTCATTACAAAGGACTTTTAATTCTCTAGTTTTCAACAATCGATCCAACCGTTTCGCAAAATTGACCGAATCATTTAAATAAATTCCTTTCAAAGAATTACGTTGTTTTTGCTATTGTGCCGATTCTTTACGTTCGCCTAGGCAATTATTGGGTTATTGTTTCACATTTAGGGCATGAAATTCATCAATTGAGATTAAAAAAAAATGAATGTGGGTCATCGAAAAAGTTACATCTTTTATCAGATTTAGTAGTATAGGTATTAAGACCACTTTGCTAGCTCTAAATTATAAGTAAATAATAAGGATCAGTTTTTAAGAAATATTAAACTGATATTTGAGTTATTCGTCAAACGATGGTACTGCAAATTTTCTAAAGAATTGGATGGATTTTTAACCACTAAGCAGCAATGTCCAAGGAATTAAAAATCCCTTTCAATGAGGCCACTTGACTTTACTACCATTTGAAAATTTTTGAAAAACCATCTTGAAGTGCTGAATTTATGGAGAAGTTCTTTCCCAGCTTTGCGATTTGTTTTACATAGGTCACCGGGTATAGTCATGACCAACCTCTTCTTTACTAAAGTTAATTTATTTCTTACGGGATCTGTGATAAGTGCTGATAATTTTGTAGTGGTTTAATGTAGTTTGATTCATAAGAAATTTCTATGTTCTCAAGATACAGGGTCGAAATTTACGAAAAAAACATCGTTGTCTTTCGTTAGGTTTTTTAAAAATTTTATGAAACTTTTCTGTATATGGTAAATTTATTATAAAATAATTTTATTTGACACTTTGGTATTTTGAAAAGCAGGCATTTTAAGACATGTCTATAGAAAATTTAATGGGTCGCTTTGGTTTAGTAATGCATCATAGAAAATAGGACTACCATTAAGTAACATCCTCTACACTGCTATTGAAAAATCCCTAATTTTTGAGCCAATGTCTAAATTTGCATTGTTGGCAACACTATAGGCGGGAGTTGGAAAGGGACCTTGTAGATGCTTCTCCATTTCGGGGCAATAGTGATTCACATAAAACGGATACTCGCGATTGAAGCTATAAGGTCGATTAAATCAGTGAAGTTGTGCTATTTCTTCCGCTGATAAAAGTGGTTATAACAGAAAAAACATTGAACAAAGTAGTACATTACGTACAACAAGTACATTACAATGTACAACTGTTTCTCCTTTCAAACCACATGATTCTTAATCTAAATCTTTTTAAGTTCCTTAATTGAAAGAAAATGACAGGATAAGTTGAGTACTTCGGAGTTTGCTACTTATCGAAATAGTAGTATAGCAGGATCAAACCGTTGCTTTCATCACAAACTACTGATAATTAATTACAAAAAAAATGTCGCATTTAATTATACCAGCAAAACAGAACTAGAGTTCGACACATCCACTGTTGATAACACGGAAAGGCAAAGATAAAATCGACAGGCAAAATGAAATACTTGGGGGTATTGTAAAAAACGTAACGGGTATCGTTTATGGCACTTTTTTGGCAATTTTGCTTAAATTTACTTGAAAATATTTTTGATGTTAAACAATTATATTTTTTACAAATATTGTTATTCACATGCTGCACAAAGTAAAACACAAAAAAAACTGTATTTTTTATAGTAAAATTATTTACTTATTGTTATTAAAATTATTTAACAAATTTAATTATTTAATACTGTTTACCCACAGCCCAAAAGAGACTTCTAATTTTAAAATTAAATTAAAATAAATATAATATAATAAAAAAAATAAAAACAAAACAAGAAAGTTAATTCCATTTGTTTAAATATTATATGTACATGAGCACTTTTAGAATTTAGAAACATAAAGAATGAAGGTTTCTGTTGGTAGCTATTAGCATTTCCTTCGTTTATTAATTTTTAATTTTACGCATTAATAATATTAATATTCAGCAGAACAAATACCTTAACTTCACTTGAGATTTTTCGGCCTGTATACAGTGAGAACCAGGTTTTTGTTACAGTTCAATTATGCACGGAAAAAAATTCCCCATTACCCGAGATTTTTTTATTAAATTTGGTATCTTCTCGATCAAATTCGATTAAAAAAAATTGATTGATTGACGAAAAGGCAGTTTTTCTTAGAACTCTAACATGGAAACAGAGCGATTTAGGGGATAGAAAAAATGATTTCCAGGAAAAACTTGGTTAACCCTGTAGGTACATACATAAATAAAATTGGCATTGTGCGATAAAATGGCGAACAATGTAGGTATTGAAAAAAGAAACCGTTTTGTTCGCACGTGTAAAACGTTTTCATCGCCGTTTAAAAATATCGCCTTTATATTTTATTGCTTCCCAGGAAATTTACATCCCTTTTCAGCTGCCGGGTGATAAATATTTGAAAAATTCTTCGGGGGCCATAATTTCTAAATAAGTCATATTGACATCATATGTCATTGATCTTTTCGAGCAATACAGGCTCGCGTGCCGTGTGGTAAAATATTGTTTGAAACTTTGACGTGGTTGTGGAAATAATGGCAAAATTGAATTGGTTATTGAAGCTGATCCGAAATGAAAAATATTTAAGGTTTTGTGCAATCTGTTTGATATTTAACATTTGGATTGTTTTTAAGTTGTGTTTTAAACTCATTTTTATTATTTGGGCGGTGGGGTTATTTATAGGTTCCGCACAATTAAATTTCAGATTTATTTTTTATTTAGCAGTCAGCACACGATAAATGATCATGACTTGCCAGGCATATCATACACTAGGCAATATTTAAATTTTAAAAAACTGTTTGCAAATAAAAAAAATCAGCTTATAATATACAAATTTACTTTTACTTCTGTATTCTTGCGCGTCGGTTTTTGATGAGTCGAACTTGCTGACGTTTAGCCAATCATCCTGTTGGCTTCTTTAGAGCTTGACTGAAACTGGCTGTTTTTTTTTCGATGTATAGAACTTTAAGTTGGCATTACTGTTCAAGATGGCGACCGTGATTTATTCTCAGTTTGGTTTGGCAATTCATCAAGAATAGACTCACGAATGAACAACGCTTGCAAATAGTGCAATTTTATTTCGAAAATAATGGTTCTGTTCGGAATAAGTATCGCGCACTACGTCCATTTCATCGTCGACAAAATCGTCCATCAGAGCAGTTAATTCGATTAACCATGGAACGTTTTCGCACCACGTTTACTCTTATTGATAACTCGCATCCCCAGAGACGCCGTACGGTGCGTACAGAAGAAGCTATTGCTGCTGTAGAGCGTAGCATTGAGGAAGACCCGAATGAGTCCATCCGCCATCGAGCACAGGAATTGGATCTGTGTCCATCCACTTTATGGAATATTTTGCGGAAGGATCTTCAAGGATCATCAAGTAAGGCGTAGATTCGTCGAATGGGCCCAAAACAAGATTGCCGTTGTTCCCGATTTTCATAAGCGAATTTTGTTTAGCGATGAAGCGCACTTCTAGTTGAATGGCTACGTCAACAAACAAAACTGCCTCATTTGGAACGAAGCTAATCGTCAGGTGTATGTCGAAACACCGTTACATCCAGAAATACTGACTGTTTGGTGCGCTTCATGGGCTGGTGGAATCATTGGTCCGTACTTCTTCAAAAACGATGATGGCCAGAACGTATAGAGCTATGATTACTAACTCATTCATTCCTGAATTGAATAACCATGATGTCCAGGAGATGTGGTTTCAACAAGACGGCGCAACATGTCACACAGCTCGTGCCACAATCGATTTATTGAAAGACACGTTTGGTGACCGCCTAATTTCACGTTTTGGACCTGCAAATTGGCCTCCAAGATCTTGTGATTTAACACCGCTAGACTACTTTCTGCGCTTGACCATTTGGAAGACAACATTCGCCGTGTTATTGCCGATATACGGCCACAAATGTTGGAAAAGTCATCGAAAATTGAACGTCCAGATTGGACTACATCCGCGCCAGCCGTGGCAGTCATATGCCAGAAATCATGTTTAAAATGCAATGACACAAGATTATCTTTCGGATAAATAAAATTCATGTCCATCGAATAATCCATCGTTGTTTTATTGCAACTTAAATTTCTGTACATCGAAAAAAAACAACCCTTATATTGTTTGACGGGGGCGGAGCTAAATGAGGGGCATAAGCACCGTCTCGAATGACTGATTCCCATACTGGTGACAGGTAGAGACCTGAGTCGCGGTTAAGATTGTTAGGTTTTTGATAGATTTCTATAGACTCTCGAATTTTCCGTTGGTAGAAGAATTGATTACATGCAAGGATATTAGTTTTATCGAATAAAATTTTATGTCCGGTTTCGTGATTGTGTTCGGCAACTGCTGATCAGTTTATTTGTCTTAATCTTAAAGCTTTTTCATGTTCTTTCAGCCTAGTTGATATTTTACGTCCGGTCTCTCCAGTGTATTCTTTGCCGCATATGCATGTAATGTTGTAAACTCCTGGCATCTTAAATGGGAAATCTGGTTTTGACGTTGTATTTCTTTAGAAATTTTGATTTGTGGTCAGTGATATTTTGAATGTAAGGAAGGACCACACTGGCAAGTGTAGGATTGCTTTCGGCCTCATTGCTATTGGAAGGTTGTGGTGAAGTGTATTTTGTTATGAAACGCTTAATATCTTTTATGTGGAAATTATTAGAGAAATGAGCAGAGGTAAGGTGTTTTAATTATGTTTGCCACTGTGGTCCTTCCTTACAGTTAAAACATCACTGACCACATATCAAAAGTTCTAAAGAAGTATAACGTCAAAACCAGATTTACCATTTGTCCAAAAATCTTTCAACATCTGCGGTCCGTCAAAGACAAAATTCCATTTGAGATTCTAGGAGTTTACAGCATTCCATGCGTATGCGCCAAAGAATATATTGGAGAGACGGGACGAAAAATATCAACTAGGCTCAAAGAACACGAAATAGCCTTACGACTAAGACAAATAAACTCATCAGCAGTTGCCGAACACAATCACGAAACCGTACATAAAATTGTATTCGATAAAACTAAAATTCTTGCATGTAATCAATTCTTCTACCAACGAAAAATCCGAGAGTCTATAGAAATCTATGAGCAACCTGACAATCTTAACCGCGACTTAGGTCTTTACCTGTCACCAATTTGGGAATCAGTCATTCGAGACGGTGTTTATACCCCTCATTAGCGCCCCCCTCAAACAATATATAAGCAGGTACAGAGTAAAATACCAGCCAGTTTCGGTCAAGCTCTGAAGCAGCCAACAGGATGATTGGCGAAACATCACCAATTTCGACTCAACAAAAACCGACGCAGGAGGAATCCAGAAGTTTTGTAAAAACACCACTAGTTGAAGTTTTAAGAACCAAATCGTGTGAGACTCGGTGTTAGAGTAGTTGAAGAGAAATAATTGTAAAAAAATTGGATGATAGTGATAGTATAGATAAAAAAGTTTTCGGCTTGATCAAGAAAAACGATGTTCTAATGTGTTTATACCAGTTTTCAACGTAGATTCGTCAAGCTATTCAAAATACTAATTTACAGCTTCGATTACTTCTTCGTTGCTCTTAAGTCTTTTACCGTCAAGGAATGTTTTGGGGTTACAAAACAGATAATAGTAATTTGTGGATTTTGGACAGGACAACAATCGACGTTATCGTGATGAAACAAAAATTTTTTCTCCACCAAATAAGGGCGTTTCATTTGCACCTCGTGCTTCAGGCATTTCAATCACTCTGCGTAGTATTACCCTTTTCGAGGTAATCAGTGTATATAATTCCGTTCGCATCCCAAAAAAACAGTAGTCATAACCATGGTTTTAGCCTTCTTTGGTTGGCAACCCAGTGTTTTGGCTGTTCCTTATTTTCAGGAGTGTAGTGATGGACCCAAGTCTCATCCATGCAAAAATTCATTTGGAGTTTTTAGTCGAGCCTTAGCAAACGCGACACCTACCTTGCACACAGCTATTTCATGTTTAAATGGTTGTGCAAAATATTTCGCACACGTTCAGCTGACATCCTACAGGTCTCAGGTATCCAACACTCCAACACAATTTGATGAATTTTCTCAATCATTTTTGTAGTTATGACCTCCAGTCAGAGGTGCTCACACGGCCTATTTTAAATTCAGAAACCGACTGCTTAATGGTTGAATATGATAAGGAGAAGTCTCCTATTGAATCCATTTTTTCTTTAATTTGTTTTGGTGTGAAACCTTTCAAATAGAAGTACTTCATGACACCACATTTTTCCAATTTTTATATTTACGGTTTACTATTATACAGTACGTAATATAACAGAATATATTTTGTGTTTCTTATACCTTATATCTTATACATAGTCATAACCATTTATCGTGTATGGCGCTATGATAAAAAAGAAACGTCAAACAAGTTCGGTTATACTATTTTCAAATCTTCTGGATTCGCCATGCGTGGCTTCTTCAGAGCCTAGCTGAAACTATGAAGAAGCCAACAGGATGATTGACGAAACGTCAGCAATTTCGATTCAACAACAATCGATGCAGGAAGAATCCAAAAGTTTTGTAGATAGTATTACAATAGCCTGTGGAAGTTCCTTTGAAAAATTAAGCTGGGTTATCTCAGACAGTTAGCGCACAAAATGAGTTATAATATGATAATAAAGACCCCTGAAAAAAACTTGCATCTGTATTAAGAAACACTTTGATTATAAATGGTCTACTTTTGAGTTTTCTAAAGGTTTACATCCAAGTTTAGCGACTTTGTGAAAATACCTTAAATCCTCCCAGGTCAGAATTAATTTGCTGGCATTAGACAACGTGACCGCTGTTTCTAGGCAGTGTGGGTCTCCACCCAATAATTAAAAAAATACCCAAAGTAAAAAAAAATATTAAAGCGATAGTCATAGATAGAGTAAAGTTCATTATCTCATTGGTTTCAAAAGTTATGAGAAAATGGTAAATACATTGTTAGGATGCATAATTTAAAATAATTTTAAACTATACAGGTTGGCTCAAAAACGCGTGACGAATAAAACATACGTGGGATACCCTATTTTTAAATTTTGTTTTCAATGGTTTTGAAATTCTTCAACTTTTTTATTAATGCTTTAAAATAATTTTCAATTTTCAACTTTTGTATTTACCATTGTCTTATAACTTTTGAAATTAATGAGATAATGAGCTTCTTTATTAAACCTTACTTTTTAAATCACCCTTATGAAACACCCTGTATTCATATTATCTGTTTTGCAATTCCCGCGTTGTATTAAAAAAAAAAAAGAGAGGATATCGATGGTTGTCCTTGGATACACACATATTACGATTTCATGCTTCGCAATTTCCTCACACAGATATTCAAATATTTTATTTCCATTTCGGCTTTCACCAATGCGGAATTCTGGCCTCCCTTGGGGTTACAAAATGCTAATCGCTTAGGTGAATGAAAATATGGCCCCAAACTTTGCATACAGCTGCAACTTTGATTGATTATTGAAAAAAATAGTGTCGTAAAATTTTCATTCCGAATTACTTCGGCATAAATCGATGCTTAATTTTAAACCTCAGCTGGTCCCATTAGTTCAGAGCGAATAATTAGAGACCTACTTCAAATTCCAATTTAAAAACGCGCGCTTATTTAATTAATAAATTCTAAAGTACAATTAATTGTTGACTGAAGCCTTACCTTGTTTTGTACTCGCTATGAATATTTTAATGAGTTTTGCTGACGGCCATTTGCTGGTTTTATGTCCCTGAAGTATATCCAAAATAGTTTCGTCGTTATTCTTCATGGTGCTTATAAATCTTTAATTCTAATTAAAAAGGTCAACTTTTATCAGGTAGTCAGTATTTACAGTAAGTCTACGATACGATTGTCAGATTCGAGTTCACAGTTTCCCGATTACATTAGAATAATAAAATAGAATGATTTGGAGAACGTTTCGAGTAACCTCTATTGCTTGGAACATCTTTTTGTCATCTTACCTAAAATATAAAAAAAGAATTTACAAAGGAACTCCTTCATTTCAATTTCTATTTATAGACGTAACTAAGTATTACCTTTGAAAAATGACGGAGATGATTCTTTGTTAGGCTTCCATTTTGCTTTACAATACGCGTTCCTCATAAAATTCGTCGTTAATATTGCAAAATAAATTTCTCAAGAAAGGGAAATAAGTTTCGAACTACTTTAATTTTAGTTAAGAGCATTTTTTTAATTTCTATACAAATATACTGTGCAAAATGAATTCATCGAAACGGAAGGAAAAATACCAAAAGCAGATCTTATAAAAGCGCTTCCACAACATCATAAACTTGTTATCTCAATTGGTCCTTTTTACTGGATGGCATAAAATTTCATGGTCCGCCTAACTATTCTGAACTTAGCGCAAAAAGATTTTATCTCAAATTAGTGTGGGTTTTAAATCCTGTTAAGATAGAAGACATTTAATGGTAAATCACATTCGAACTTGCAGTTGGTCATTTCAAAATTTGGAATAAGCTATTGTAGCGTGGTTTGCAATGAAAGAACCAACTTTGTTGATCTTCAGGGTGAAAATTTTTAGCCTGGAACCTATCTTCTTCTAACATTACTGTCATATCGCTAGACAAGTGCAAAGCCTTTTTGAAGATAGTAACAAAACGGTTATGAAACCAGTATACATTTTGGATAAGTTAGGAAGACGAAGAAAAATTTAATTAATTCATTTTGCTCAGTATATTTTATAAGTTTAAGACATTGTATTTAATTAAAATAAATACTCATCCCTATAATGCCTCTATAATACTGCTTTAAAATGAGGTACAGTCAAAAATTTATTACTGGGGACATTGTTTAAATGACAGCCATACATAACTAGCAATTTGAGTCTTTGATTCTTTTATTCAACATGTCATTTAGTTTGTGTTTACATTTACAATAACAAAGTGAAACACTAATTAAAAAGTATATCAGTTAACAAATAATTCTATGGCAGGTTAAATTAAATACAATAAAACAAAAATTTATATATCTATAAATAAAATTTATTTGTTTTACTGGCTTGGTAGAGCTTGCCGCCATTATTGCTTCCGTTTCATTTGTTACTCTTATATTTTTCACTCTCCGTTAAATTGCATTTCATATAAATTTTTCCTTTTTTATTTTTGATGATTTATACACTTCGTGTTTAACTTTCTTTGATACAATTTTTTTTTGCTTTTTCATTTTTCAATAATTATATAAAACCAATGATTGTGGTGTTTAATTAGCTTTATTTTATTGAAATATTTTCTTTTCTTTACTATTTGTTATACATCTGTGGTTGGTAAGAATGCAGTTATGTTGTTATATTATTATTATCCCTATGGTCTACAATTTTTTTTAAACTGAAAGCGAAAAAAATCCAAATCAAATAATAGGGGAAATATAGGGAGTGAAACACCCTCCTGGTGACGTCTGTGAGTTAAATAAATGTCTGTGTTTACTGCCCTTGCGTAACACCGTCACAATACATTACAATAGGTTAAAATACTGCTGTAAGTAATTGGGTTGATTGTGTAGGAAAGATAAATGCAATCGACTATAGCCCATAACAAGTACAATAAGCCGAAATAAATATAGAGATCTCCACAATAAGATGATTATTATTTTGCAATGCTTTGAAGAGGCGAGACGTCTGACATGTGAATGCGGATTCTCCTGTCTCTGGCAAAATCTTAATTAAGGCACTCTAAAATGCACTTTGCCTAACATCCTTACTAAATGAAAAGCAAGTTGCTTTCAGGCTCACCTTGCCTTTGCCTGAAATTGCCACTATACGATATTCTACAATGCTTAAATTTTATTGACTGTTTTCAAAAATGCCTCAGCTTTAACTCGGTTTACCTACACCGTGTGCCAAATAAAACGATCGACTATACGATCTGGAAACCTATAGGAGGTGCAAAAAAAACTTTCGTACAAAAGTTTCTTGTGTTGTGTTGTGACATCAACTTTGTTATTTGAAATAGAACACCCCATATATTTATTCATTTTTTGAATCCTTGGTTAAAATAACGGTCACTTTCTTAAGAAATTCCTATTCGAATTTTGCACAGTTTAGGCAGAAATTGAGGTTATGTGTTTTTTTTTTCATATTTTCATTACCCCATATAAAATTGTGTTGTGACGCTACTGGCCCAGGCATTACAACAAAAATTTAACAAATGCGCTTATACAGGGTGTCCCAAATAGGTGGTGCCGTTTTCAATTGGATCACCCTATATTTTTATTCAGATATCAATTCTAGGACAATAAATAAGGGAAGTTTGTAATTTACCTTATATTTAAATTTTACTTACTTTTTGAGATACTCGAGGTTTAATATAACATCCGTATAAATTCTTGTTCAATTTAAAGCTGCCCCTATTAGGTCACTTGTTGGCAGTATTAGGTATTTTTTAAATAGCAAAGACATGATACTACTTCTTTCAATGATGTAATAGTCCAGAAATACGAATAACGTCCATTAATACGTGGAAATTTTGAAAAAAAAAACAACTCTATACCACACACTTTAATAGACTGAATAAAACTACAGAATTCATATTTAAAGAAACATTTAATAGTTAATTATTTAGTTTTATATTAAAAACACCCAATAACAAAAATAAATAATTACAATTTATAGGTCAACCAAAAAAACTATAACTTACGTAAAATGCAAATAAAATATATACTTACAAAAAACTTAACAACTTTTTTAATAGAAATATGAAAAACAACAAAACAACAGAAATGCCAAAGTTTGTTTGTGGTTAAATTTTCCTTGCAAAACCTGGATCAGTAGCGTCACAACACAATTTTATATGTGACTATAAAAATATGAAAAAAAAACACATAACCTCAATTTCTGCCTAAACTATGCAAAATTCGAATAAGCATTTCTTAAGAAAGTCACCTTTATTTTAACCAGGGATTCAAAAAATGTCGAAATATACAGGGTGTTCCATTTAAAATAACAAAGTTGATGTCGGAGGGACACTTTTGGAACACCCTGTATCAAAAAAATTATATTATTTTAAATCTTGAGGAGATTCCAAGAAACTTTTGTACGAAACTTTTTTTCGTATCTCCTACGGGTTTTCAGATCGTATAGTGGATCATTTTTTTTGACACATGATGTACATAAGCAAGTCATATCAACTCAATCATACTGAACTTTGCATTATATGCCACCTCCAAGAAACTCATACTCTTTTTCACGTACTGTTTTGGTCTTTTTATAACTAGGAAAAATTCGATAATTTTAAAACTAGAGTCATGGCGGTTTTCTGTACAGGCTGGCTGTCCATTCTGAGACTTAGATCTCTTTAATGAATTTTGTTTCTCTTCCTTTTGCCTTTTTATGTTTCCTTTGTTATAATTAATAGGTTCGCTGTTACAATGAACTGAAGCAATACGGAAGACTCTTGTTATATCAACAACTGAATTTCCTCATAAACAATAATAAATAATGTAGCTATTTAAACATTATTACTAATTTTAAAGGATCGTTCCTTAATAGCGTGTCTATCTAAATGGGGATCTGTACTTCTGTAAAGTTTTTTCCGCATTCGTCTAACAAAATAATTTTTTTTAAAAATGCAAAAATTTAATTAACTCCTCAAAAACATAGCGAAGAGTGAATTGACAATGTCCTTTATAAATCCTAATTTGTTCTAGACGGTGTAGTGAAATGTAAAACTTTTAATTTAATTAATTTTAATTAAGAACGTTGCGACTGAACGCAAAATAGGAAGAGGTGACTTTTATGCAGAAACGACTCTATCCTGAGAAAATGTCACTTATTTTTTGATGACTTTACCTTTTTTTTTGTTTCTTAAAATAAATTATCCCAGACAATACAGAACAGCCTGTACAACTGAATTTTTATGAATTTCTCGGAATTACTTTTTTGTGAAAAGTGGTGGCGTTTTTTTTAACAGTATAAGGTGTAGTGGATAATAGTTTATCTACAAGTTGTTGTGAAAAAGTGATAAATCATCTATATTCTTTAATATTTGCCCAAAAATGACGTGAAACACAAGACCAGCGTAGGTGTGTCATTTTTCTATATGTTTCAAAATTGTGCTTTTTCTATTTTCAATCTCATTTAAGGCGATTAACTTTTAAAACGACAATTTGTGATTTCTAATTAATATACAGTGTGTCCCACTTAAGAACTGTAGGATAGAAATCTCAAGAAAAGTCATAGTCATAGAGAGACAAGAGAGAACTACTATTAAAGATTTTTTAAAGAATAAATTATCAGGAGTACTATACCGATTTTTGATTTTTGTAGATTTGTAAAATTTTGGATTAAGGTTTGAATTTTTGATTTTTGAACACTGTATATTATAAAATTGTAATTTAAATTTCTTTTATTTGCTTTCGGTAGATTTGATCGAGTTGATTTCAATCTACTTTTCAATTAAATTTCCTTTCCTTAGATAATATGTTCATTAGTGTTATGCCTCCGTAATGAATTAGAAATTTCCATCTTCGGATACATACTCTGGCTTCGCAGCATATTAGATGGCACCTGACATCCCGCTTTAACCATATTATCCAGCATCTCTCGTTATTTCGTCGTAATTTATCACACGCATAGAAAAATCAAAAAGTTAATCAGCAGGCGCTTTCTTCGAAAATTCATCAGAGTATTTAATGCGATTCGTCATTTAACGCGTTAACTTTTATCGATCGACGAATGAACTCTAGCCCACAACAAAGGAAATGAATAGAACTGAATATGGAGATCTCCACAACAATAATTGAAAACTTCGCGGATATTAATTGGAATTACAAAAGGACGATAGAAAAGCAGGGTCCGTAAATGAATAGGGCGAGAGTTAAAGTGCAGTGGTATAGCGGCTGGGGACCAACGAACGAACAATTTTCAAAAAAAAGCCGCTTGAATTTAAAATACGTCTCCTTGGCAGGCCAAAACTTACCGCTTAAAATTTCTTCCAGTATTTTCTTATCACAGTTCACTTTATATATGATATTGGATAATACTTGTAGCTCGCATCTTCATTGTTTGGAGTTATCTGAAAATAAATTGAAGAGTAATACAAATACGCATTTATGTTAAAAAGTTAAAATCGGAAAAATTGAAAAAAACATACATTTTAATAACGACATTGAAACCTGATCACCTAATTTAATGGAATCTGTTGAATGTACATGTCACACAAACTTATTAATGAAGTTCGTCTTCAGAAAAAGCCAAATTATTGTCTATTAAATACCAAAAAATTTTAAAAACTTCTTGAAAGCACTGCCTAGTTTAACATTCTGTGTAATAGCCATTAAAGAGTTTGTTTCAATAGAGAAAGAATGAAATGAGCCTTCATAGAAATTGAAACACCCAAACTCTTCATATACTATGACATACGTTTTTCAGTATCTAAATCAATTGCAAAATTTTCATACTGTTTGTGATGTCATTAATACATACATTGAAAATGAAATGGCACCAGATGTTGCGCTTGGAAAGAAAGAAATGGATAAGTTCATCAATGGGGTCAAACTGTCTCGCTATAATATCTGGGGTGCTTCAAGGTTCCATTCTGGAACCAATTTTATACTGTGTAAAAACGTTCGCAAAAGTATGCAAATGATACACACAACTTTATGACTAATTTCGGGGAAAAAACATTTTGCAAAGCTGTCAAATCATATAGAATATCCTAGAAATCATTAATACAATGTGCCTAGAGAAATCACTGAATCTTAATCCAAAAAAATCTATAGTAATGTTGTTTGGTAGGCTCGTGCATGTTGATGTTGATTGTCTTAACTAAAATTGCTCTGAAAGTGGAGGCAAAAACTTTGGGTTTATGCTGGACAATAAACTAACATTCAATGTATTAAAAAATCCATCCATATGGACCTAAAAATATTTTAAACAAATCATTAAAGACGATTCTATTTGATTCGATAGTTTTAACGACAGTGACCACCAGAAACTGCCTCAAAACGAAAACCAAGATGCAGAAGTACTGCTAAAGTTTTTTTTCTCTCACTACCACTAGACTCGGAAAATTAGAATGTAGGTTTCCATTAGGTTTTCGGCATTTTTCTTTGGTATGCGTAGAATCAAATGGGGAAAAGTGGATTTTATTAAAAAGTATTAGCATCGAAAACCCTGGTATTGACATTTGCGACGGTTTCAGAGTTAAGTGTTTGTTGATGACTGTCACTACTGTAGGAGCTCGGAAATAGTGCAAGATCCAATATGTCGGTAGACCACATACCGCTACAGTTACAATAAACTCCACAAAAACCAATGTAACCCTTCTTCCCTGACCAGCAAAGTCCCCAGACGCATCACCTATTGAATATAAATGGAATATAATAGGGAAAAGCTTTCCACATCATATAATTTTTTACAGAGGATGCTATGATTGATTGTTATTTTCAAATGTCATTACTGAGGATTTATCAGAATTAAGTAGTAATAATTATAAAATCTAGTCAAATCAGAATTAATGCTATCGTTTGCTACGTTAAGGAGTGTCTTGATATCTACGGTTTATTTATGGTATAAAAGAATTTGATCTAGTCTCTCATTAGAACTAATTGTTATGCATCATTTTATAGGGGTTGAACTTTGAACAATTTTTAATTGCTTTCATCTCCTTTTCTGCAATTGATCTAGTTATCTAGTTATATATGAAGGTTAGCGCCAAAATTTCCCGGCTTGACAATAGATGCAGTTCCAGTATCACGATAAAACATTGTCTTCTTTTAAATATATATCTTAGTAGGCTGCGAAAAAAAATTGAAGTCTTGCTTCACATAGTTTTTTATTGACAGCATTTTAAACAAGACGTGTCCGAAAAAATGTCACCAATAACGCAAATTGAATATAAAGCAGTCATTAAGTTTTTGACAAAAGAAGGGTTAGCACCTAAACTTATTAAAGAAAGGCTGGATGGTGTGTACTGCCAAAGTTCTCCTTCGTATTCTGTAGTGAAAAAATGGGCGAAACGTTTTCGAATGGGGCAGGAGTCCCTTGAAGATGATTCAAGAACTGGTCGACCAGTGGAGGTCATAACGGAAGATATTGTTGCGATTGTGGAAAAGGTGGTATTGAGTGATCGACGTTTAAAGGTCGAGGGAATCTCAAAAATTACTAAGCTTTCTGACACAATGAATCCTGCATGATCATTAAGGTATGCATAAGGTTAGTGCAAGATGGGTTCCTAAAAACCTTTCGGCTATTCAAAAACAACGCCGTGTCCAGTGGGCGCGGTCTTTTTTGGAACTCTGTGGTCGGAACCGAAACCTGTGATGTGTGTCAGTGGTAAATATTACGCAACCTTATTACATAAGTTGCGAGACTGCATACGTGTAAAACGTCGAGGAAAACTGACCAGAGGCGTGCGTCTTTTGCACGATAATGCAGCTATCCACACTGCTGGTGTTGCACAAGCTGTCATTTTAGAGTGTCGGTTCCAACAGATAGATCATCCCCCGTATAGTTCAGATATGGCCACCAGCGACTATTATTTGTTTTGATATTTGAAAAAGGATTTACGTGGATGGCGGTTTAATGACGAAGTTGAGTTAAAAGAGGCTGTTTTAGCTCATTTTGCAGACAAACCAAAAGAATATTAATAATAATAATATTAAAGGGATTAAGTTGGAGATGTAATTAGTGTATTAAAAAAAATAATAAAAAATTGTTACTCTACTTTGTTTCTTTCATATTGAGGCCGGGAAATTTTGGCGCTGCCCTCGTATCTTACTGTAATATATATTGAATACAACATGCTTCTTCTTCTTATTATTATTATCATTATTATTATTTACTATAAACATCTTGCCAAAGAATCCGCCTCTAAACATTACATTGAGAACGCACGTTAGCTCAATTATTTAAACCAAAAACATTAACTGCTTAATGGAGCCTATAATTTAAACACTTCAATCCTCCAGCACTCGCTTTATATTGAATTCTCGTAATTCGAGGAAAATTTGTAGAACAAAATCAATCCGTTATAGAAGCAGTGCGTCCGACATGAAGTGGAAGATAATCATTCGAATTACCTTGTGATATTAATTACGCTAACATGCAAAACCATTTCCACGAAACAATACGTTATTATCAATCAGCACGAGTTTCTTACTCGAACGTATTAATATCAGACAAGCGTTGAGAACATTGCGATTAATTTACAAACTTTGCATTGAGCCGAAATAAATCATTACAATTTACTTCCCCCTTAACAAAATTCTGCTGACGATCACCAGACTTTTATTTTTTAACTAATGAACGATGAAGGTAATAAATTGAGTAGGAAAATATTTAGGAATATCGTCGAACTATAAAAGCTTTTACGACCGTAAACACAATTTAATTAGGTTTAAGACCATGACCATGAGCTGGCCTTAATGGAGGAAAGCAACAATTTTTTTTTGTTTTTATTTGGGGTCATTAAAGGAAGTAGGTGGAAAATCGAAACAAAAGAATCCAATGAAAAAAATTTGAAACGTTTCGCTTTGAAGTCTTATTAGCAGCAGGCATTAATATCAGTTGCAACTCTGTGAAAAAAAGGCACATTGAACGTTTACACTCGCAAATATCTCCCATAAACATTTAAAATATCGTTTTCATCTCTTATTTTCTTGAAAGAGTGTCTGCTCCATTTAGATTTCGCGCAGGTAATTTTTATTCCTGGCTGGAATGAAAGGAAACCTTTTATCCCGAAAAATGCTGCGCGACACACGAACAAATTCGCAGGGTTTTGTTGCCGTGTTATATCATTCAAATTTTTCAATTATTTTTATACGATTGTGGTGCAAAATGCATTACTAAACAATGCCCTTCAACATAAATCTCGCATTTTGCTGTAGACGGGGTTTCGTGACATCGATCAATACTGGCAAAATTATTGGACTTGGAATTTATTATTTACTTGTTAAAATTTCAATGAATAGTTACGAGGGTGTTTCATAAATTATTTTTATTATTTCATTAAGTATTGTTCACTAACAAACACTCCTCCCAATATGATGCACAAATGCTATTGATATAATAATTTGAAAAATTTTCAGTAAGCGATATTTCATAAGTTTTAAAAGCAGACAAACGCTGTCTCAAGCTTAACTAGCTGCTGCCTTTATAGCTTTTGGAAAATCCTGTCTAAAATGATTTTCAAATAATCGAAAGTTGTTAGATTCCAAATACAAGGTAAATACTCTTGGATTTGGAGTACCATGAAGATAACAGCAAAATTTTTTGAAAATTTGTTTTAATTTTGTCCCCTAACAAACATTCCTCCGAATATGATGATTAAATGCTATTGATATAATTATAAGAAAATTTTTCAAAAGCGATATTTTACAAGTTTTAAAAACAATGCTATCTCAAACTTAACTAACTGTTGCCTTTCTAGCTTTTGAAAAGTCCCGTCTAAAATGATTTTCAAGTAATCAAAAGTTTATAAATAGGTTATAAATACAAGGCATTGGACTTGGACTACCATGAAAATAACGGTAGAATTTTTTTCGCCTCCGTATATGGTAATGGACATTTATGTAAAATTCTAAGGTCAAATACTAATTCGAAAAATTTTAAAAGGGTATCAGTACACAATTCCGTAAAATTTTTATTTCTGATTTTATTTGTTTGAAATCTGCAACTTCTGACCCCAAAGCGTAATCCAAAGGCGATTTTTTATAGGACTGATTCTTCCGATTTCGTATTTAAAATCCGACAATAGACCTTTCCAAACGTTCATCTTTAAAATTTGGTCGCAAACTATAAAGAATTAAAAGGAAATTAAAAAATCGACATAAGCATACCATTAATTGAATTCGTAAACGGGTTGAGTCTGCAATCACTCAAATATTGACATTTTTCTAAAAATTTATACTTCGGATATCGGAATTGTGAACGCTTCTGCTCGCAAATTTAATGATTTTTATAAAGTGATTATGTAATTTCTAGCATGAAAGCGAACATTCTGTATAGCGAAATGAAATTTTGCAGGATATTGGTTTTCCTCAAGCCTGCTATGCCAGATTTTAAATAAAAAAT